AAGGAAGGAAGGAAGGAAGGAAGAAAGAAAGAAAAGAAAGAAGAAAGGAAGGAAGGAAGGAAGGAAGGAAGGAAGGAAGGAAGGAAGGAAGAAAAGGAGATAGAATAGAGTAGTGATGACTGATCTGGATTTTAACAAATGTTGGAGCTATCGGCAGAAAGGTGGACATAACAGTCCTCCATCATCCTACACAAACTGCCTGTCCTGGTTACTAGGTCTGAGAGTTCCCCTGAGCATCATTCATATCACTTAGCTGCAAACGAAATTTGAAGCCAAGGATCCCAGCCATCCGTCACAGGTAGAGGAACAGGATGAGAACTCAATCATCTTTTGGGCAGATAGCCAGATCCACTAGACCCTGGGCTGCAAAGTGGCACCGCACTGGCTCATCAGACTTTTCCTGTCTGGTGGTAGAGCCTGCCTTGTCCTCAGATTGTCTCTGGAGGATGAGGCCCTGTCTCCTTCTCTCTCTTTTCTATTTTAAGCGTGGCATGTAAATACTGCTATTGTCTCTTTCCCTTTTAATGGGAGTTAGCATTTACCTCTCTCAATGCCTAGCGTTTAAAAGTCTCCATCACTCTCAAGTTTTTAATCAAGTAAAAGGCTTCCTCCTCTCTCCTGCAGTGCTCTCTTGCTCATTTGCTCTTGCACACACACACACACACACACACACACACACAGATACAAGGAATATTCTCTTACATAACCAATACAATTATCACCTACCTCTTCCTATTACTAAATATAATTTTTTAAAAATCACACATGTACAACAGAATTCAGTTTGTTTCCAAATTGTAATTCTAAAGATAAAACAGGTCATTTAACCATTCCCTTCTCAGCTCTGGTTCCCACCATCCTTCCAAAGCACATTATCGTGGGGTTTGTTTTCTGTCTTTCCAGATGTGTATTTTTAAAGGGTATATTTATATATGATATATATATATAATATATGCACAAATATATCTATATAATTTGCTAACATATTTAAGCAATAAAAAGAAAGTACTGATACCTTCAGAATGGATGGATGCAAAAATGTGTTAAACTAAGTAGAAGATGCCAGACTTAAAAAGCCACATATTGTATAATTTGACTCATAATATTTTAGAAAAGAAGAAACCATAAGGCTAAAAACATGCCAATGGCCAACTGCTACTGCTGCTGGTTTTTTGTTTGTTTGTTTGTTTGTTTGTTTGTTTGTTAACCATTTATTTAGACCTCTCTCTGCTACTGTAGAGCGCTCCAGTTCATTCTTTTCACTGCTGTGTCATTTTCCATTACACGTACTTCATCTTTCATTTATGTGGTCCTGGTACTCGTGGTCATTTAGATTTTCTTCCAGTTCTCTGCTAATAAAAAGACAAAGTGATGAATAGCATTTGGAACATCTGAAAGAGTTTCTCTGTAGTGGACATGTAGACATTGTGATAGGAGAATTAACATGAATTAGAATTTCTTACTGCACTAGAAGGTGTGAAAATATAATCTGTGTCTTGCTTCTAAAATCTCCATTGCTTTCTACCTCAGATAACACCCTCTTCCCTTGAGAGACAGATAGTTCTAAAACAGCTGTTCTAGCCTCACTGTCTCTGCTTCTGTAAACATACTTGCTCATGGACCTTAGCTGTGTTGGCTAAACTTTAAACCCTTAGCCCACCAATAAGAGAAGGTCAGATGTGATGTGGTATAACCTATAAATATTGAAAAACAAAAACTAACTGCATCGGAACCTCGTCTTTCTCTCTAGAGCATTAGCACTAGGCCTGCTGGCTGGGCCTGCCAGCAACAAAGATGAGCTCTGCAACTTTCCAAGTGCATGCTTGGTTTCCAGAAGGTCTGATCTCTGCAACAGTAGCATTGTTAGAAGATGAAGTCTGAACCGTAGGCTCCATAATGTTCTGCAGTGGCCAAACACATTTGCATTTTTACTAAAACCCTTAACAACTCTTTCTATTATCAAACTAACACATACTTACTCATCTGATTCTATTGTTAGGTGCTAAGTGAGACAGATATTTTTGGAGGAGGGGGTAGTGCTTTTATTAACACACTCTAAAATTATCCTTTATTTTCAGCTAAAATATTATGGTACAAGTTGAGCATGGCCAGAGTCATACCTGCCTATTATTAAGCATACCTCCAATGTTTTCTTCTGTTTTGCCTTCTTAAATTGTCATCTTAAACTGAGCATGCTCAGGAATGCAGTACTTAAATGGGCATTCTCAGGAACTGGCTCCCGCTTAAATGAATTGGTATAGGCTGCCTGAGTAGAAGCCCCACGCTTCCTTTGTTGAGGGCTCTCTCTCACCTGCTAGGTTCTGCCTCTCTCCACTCACCAAGAAGCAAGCCACTGTATTCACTTACACTACCGGGCTTTCTAAAACATGTGAACCAACCAAGTTTGCTTTGTTTAAGAACAGGGTCTCAAGGCTGGAGCCTTAAACTGGCTCTGCCTGCTGTGCTGGGATTACAGGTCTGTGCTGCCAGACCCAGCTAACACAGACTGCACCAGCCTGTACACCAGCGGGGTGAAAGGTGTACCCAAATAGATCTCAGTGCCATCGTGTTTGAAGAGGCTCTGGTGTTTTGCCTGTTGACTGCATGGGGATGAACTTGCTTAGCAAGAAAAGAGCTGAATGTTAAGGGTGAGAAAGGGAGAAGAGGAATACAAAAAAAAAAAAAACTGGTCCAAGGGGCTGGAGAGATGGCTCAGAGGTTAAGAGCACTGACTGCTCTTCCAGAGGTCCTGAGTTCAATTCCCAGCAACCACATGGTGGCTCACAACCATCTGTAATGAGATCTGGTGCCCTCTTCTGGCCTACAGACATACATGCACGCATAACATCGTACACATAATAAATAAATAAATAAATAAATAAATAAATAAATAAATAAATAAATAAATAAATAAAATAAAAATTGGTCCGAGACATGAAAGAAAAGCAGGGGCAAAGAAGCCATGTGGTCTTAGTTACTCTTCTATTGCTGTGATAAAACACCAGGGCCAAGCAAATTATCAAAGACAGTTACAGTAACAGAGGGTTAGAGTCCACGATAGTAGAGTGAAGGATAGCTAAGACCTCATATCTTGATCCATAACCATGATGGAGGGAGGCAGAGAAAGAAGGAGAGGGAAAGAGACTTTTAAAACCTCAAAGCCCACTCAATGACACACTTCCTCCACCAAGGCCATACTTCCTAATCCTAATCCTCCCTAAGTAGTTCCACCAACTGGGGACCAAGTACTCAAATACTTATGTGGACATCCTCTTCAAACTACCATGCCATGGAAAGCTCTGATATAATGTTTGGGAGCAAGTGGGTTTCTGAGGGAGCAAAGATGTGTTTACACCTCATGGGGTCTATGCTAACTGCTCTGCACACATATTTTATTTACTTTTTATGATTAACTGCAAGAGTTATCAATGTGCTCATGATTCGGGGTCATGTTCTACGTGGCTTCTCAAGAGTTCTCCTGGGCAATTAAGCGCCCGCTGCCACAGTTGCATACTTAAAGGCTCCTCTTTCCCACTTTACTTCCTTACTCTTTGTTAGTGTTTCCTGGCTTCACCTTCTGACACCGTTTGCACTTTCATCTTTGTGTCAAGGTCACAGCTGCCACATTGTGGCTGTAGTCCAGAGACACAGACACATAGTTCTCCCAGGTTCCTCACGGGTCCAATGTGCTTTTAGCAGTGGCTGGGATGGATGCTCAGGGCAGCAGATGGCTGGAGGACTTGGCTGGGCTTGAGGGTCTACAGTCAGGTGGAGCTAATGGCAGGCTAGTCAGCCAGAAAAAGAAAGTTGATAATCACTATGCACAGGGGATGAGCCCTCCAACCACTGACTGATGTCTCACAAGCCATCAAGGCATCCAGGAGCCAGGACTACAAAGTCCATCACCCAAGGAAGAACTGGAAGACACCCTCCCCAGAACCTCACCTCTTTTCTGCCATATAAGCCACTGAGCCTTCTTTCATGAATCAAATCTTGCCATGGTCTCAGAGAAGGAAGCAGATGATGGGAAAAGTCTGTAAGATGGAGCATATAGGACAATAAATGATTAGATTGAAATAATTCAAAGTTTATTGTTATTTCTTACTCAGAGGTAGGTAGGACCAAGGTCAAACAATGAAAGAGGCTTCCCTTTCTCTGCATAGTTCAGCTATGTTAAGATGTGTGATTCCAGCCAGACATGGTGGCACACACCTAGGATACCAGCACTTGTTAGTCTGAAGCAGTGGTACAACATGTAACCCTGTCTCAAAAAAAGGGACAGAGACTTCTACACAGACAGCATAAATAGATGAGATCTGGGTACCAATAGTAGGAGCCAGTCCCTTGAGGATTCAAAAAATCTCCGAGAAATAAGATGCCACCCAGTGACGGACAGAAATAGGAAGCACTCTCCACAATGTCTTTCCAACATGCCAGGCAGTGAATTGGCTTCTTCAGTTCTAGCACACTTTCAGGAGTGGCTTTTTATTTGTTTTAAAGTACCTCTCAACTCCTGAATTCTGGCCCTCCCTTAACAGGATGTTGTTAAAAATGGGCCAGCTTTTCCTCAGGCTTGAGTTCTCTTTTGGAGGGGATCACTATGCAGAAGCACTTGTCTGTCTGTTTTGTATTCCCCTGGAGTGGTTCTGCCTGTTCTCTGCTAAGACAGGATCTGACCTCCCTCAGCTCAGACGGGACCCACTCCAGCCCCTCAGTCCTATGCGTGGGGGTTGCAAGGCTCACATACAACTACCATTGAGAAGCTGCCAATGAGGGACAGGGTGGTATTCTGGCCTTAACACTCAGCTCTGGCTGAATCCCACAGATCTGATTATTGAGGGTGAGAACTGCGGTGGAGATGCCATTGTGGAGGAAATGGGAGGGCACTTTAAGGAATTTACACAGTACCTTTGCCTTGGCAGGCCTTTATTCATCCACAGCCAGCTACATCTCAAAGGCTCAGCTGACAAAGCTTGAGCTCCTCTCTGAGCCAGTTAGAGGAGGCAGTCTAAGACCTCTCGCTTGAGTAAACTCACAGTTTGTACTGGTTCCTAGTCCTGAACAATATCTAAGAACAGGGCGCCAGGCATTTCCTTTATTGGCAGCATAGTGACTTTTCATGGGATAAACTCAAAATGGAAGGGCCAGAGGCCGATCTGCAGCTAATAGGGAGGGGAGGAGAACGGTAACCATAGCAGCAGCAAAAATAACACTAATGGTAGGGATTATACACGGAGCCCTCTCTTTAGGCCAGGCCACAGTAGGCAGCTTCCTGGGCCCAGACAACCCTTCATCACCCATGAGTCCACACTGCCTTCGAGGAAACTCAGTCTGAGAGAAGGAATTTTTCCCCAAATCCTAATCCTGCAACTGCCAAGGGACTGAGCCAGGAAGCCAAAATGAAAACCCAGGTTCACGTTCCATCAAGATTTCTCCCTTTGGATTTTTTCTCAAAGCCTTTGGTGTTACAATTTGAAAAATTAGGCCAGTGACACAGCTCAGTGATAGAGTGGCAGCCTAGCACGTCCAAGGCCCTCACCTCAAAAGAAAAGGAAGACATAATTAATAGAGGCCATAGGAGAACAGGTAGGTAGAGGCATGAGGATCAGAAATTAAGGCCATCCTTGGTTACATAGAAGATTTGAGGCCAGCCTGAGCTATCAAAGAAACAATAACAAATAAAATAAAAAGTTCAAGCAGAAAGGTGGGCGGAGAGGGAGTGTAGACAGATTGGTTAATGGTACCAGGTTGCAGTTGGATGAGACTGAATTCTGATGCTCTAACACACAGTATGGTGACTGTGGTTGACAGTAGTTAAGTATATACTACAAAATAACTAGTAGACAGATTTTAAATGTCCCCAATACGAAGAAACAATGGCTGTTTGAAGTGACTAGCATGCCGGTCCCCCGACCCTTTCATTACCCCTCATACACTTGTACTGAAGTGTCACGGCATACCCTGTAAATGTGTCTGACTATTACGTCATTCAAAAGTAAGTGTACATGTGAAAAGACAAGTGGCCTGAAACCAAGTCCCTTTATTTATGACTAATTCACAACTAGTCCAAAAGGGAGGATTATTCTGAAATTCTACACTGGCTCAGAATCCCACGTGTTTGGTAATTTGCCACGGATTTGGTAATTTGCCATTCAGTAGGTCCTTTGTGTACAGCTTTCTTCTGGAGGTGGCAAGCCTGTGTAGTGACCTTTCTGTGAGATCTCTGAGCTTCCGACTCTTCCCTTAACTCTCCACAAAGATGCTTGTCCAGATCCAACATTACCACAGAGGACCAAGGACAAAGTGGGAGGGCTGCTGCTGTTGCCCCCCCCAAGAGAGGTCTGCAGAGAGGTTTGCTTGGACGTGTGTCTGTGTTAGGGTTTCTATTGCTGCAATGATACATCATAATGAAAAATGACGTTGGGGAGGAAAGGGTTTATTGGACTTACACTTCCACATTGCTGTTCATCACCAAAGGAAGTCAGGACGGGAACTCAAACAGGGCAGGAACCCGGAGGCAGGAGCTGATGCAAAAGCCATGGAGGGGAGCTAGTTGTTGGCTTGCTTCCCATGCTTGCTCAGTCTGCTACCTTATAGAACCCAGAACCACCTGCCCAGGGATGGCACCACCCATCGTGGCCTGGGCCCTCCCCCATTGACCACTCATTGAGAAAATGCCTTACAGCTGGGACTCATGGAGGCATTTCCTCAACTGAGGCTCTTTCCTCTGATGACTCTCGCTTGTGTCAAGTTGACACACAAATCCAGCCAGTACAGAGTGCTTTCCCCACTAAAAGCAAAGCTACTGAATACTAAACTGTTTTCATATTGCTGTTTTAAAATAGTGAATTCAAATTAGACTTCAGTACATAAGACCTGTACCAGTGATTGGAATTGGGGGCTGGAGCATATATCAGCCGTATCTTACGTGATAATCGTACTGCAAATGTATGCACATTCCATCCTGAGGGTTGAAAAACAGTGATAACAGCAAGGGGACTGAAGGTGAGTGTGTTTGCTGCCGACTATTGTTTCTCAAGGAGTGGCCATTACTCGAGTCTTTCTGTGTGCCCACTCTCAGCAGAGCCAGAGGGCCACCTCCCCAAATGAATGCTGGGAGACTAACTGGTTTGCCAAGAATTATCAAAAACGCTAGTGTGTTTTAGAAAACGGGAGTTTTCCCTGGATTACCTGCTGTTTAAGGATAAGAACTCAGACCAAATGACTCTAAGGTATTAGATAAAAGTGAATTTTAATCTGATCAGTTGGGATTTTTTTTTCATAAGCCAGATTACATAATGTGCCCTGCCAGCTTTAAGCCTCCTTGGTCCATGCCAAGCTGTATTTGCACTAATCGCTTTTGACACAGTGCCCAAAGTAACAGAGTAGAATCTCCCTACAGTGTGGATTTTAGTCCACGGGGCCCAGCTCTTGAGACCCAGTTCTCTGTGCCCCTAAGTGTCGTGACGCTCTGCAACATCATCTCCCACCACAAGCCGCTCTGCATTTGTCATAAATCAGTGCGGTTCGTGGGTGATGGGAGGAGAAGTTATAATAACACCATCAGTACTGAACGGTTCTGAGGTACTTCCTGAGTCCCAGGCCACATGCCAAGCGTCTCAGAGGAACAGCCATTTCATCCTGTAGCTCCTCTCTGCTGCAGATGCCAGCCTACATCCAGAGGGCCACAGGATGAACCAGAGGGAATCCCTTAAAGGAACATTCACAGAGGTGAGGGGAGGACAAAGGGTCCTTCCTACATGAGAAGGTGAGGGGCCCAAGGCATAACAACAGTGAATAGTCTTCAACGGCCCAGACCTGGAGGAGCAAGGCAAAAAGAGTCTGGTAAGAGCTGAAGTCACAGGATGGCATTAAAGGGATGTAGCTATATGTTGAGGCCGGACCAGAGTGAGTATAAGACAGTCTCGGGCCAGGAGAAAGGTAAGAATGCCTGGGTTTCTCTCCTGCCTCAGGCAGCACCCACTCGCCACACCCAACTGGCAGACAGAGGGCGCTGGGGGACACTAATGCGAGAGGTCATGCTCTTGGGTGTAAATTATCGAAGAGAATTGGATCCATGAAAAGCAAGTGGAGAAAAACCAGCATAACATAGTGGTCATTGTTTGCATTCGTAACCTAAAATGCTCAGGCAAGAGGTGGGACAAGTGGGGCTCAGAGTGATCCAGTAATTTCCCCAAGTCGGCTAGAGATTTGGCGCCAGGCTTCCTGACTTAGGCTGCCCTTGGTGTGGTCTCTGTGGTTCTTTCACTTCCTCCCACTTTGGAATCAGGTGACCCAAACCCTGCTTGTTGTCCAAATCCATCCCTTTCCCTGTGACAAGCTGCAGCCTGCAGTCTCTCGGGCCAGCTTTCTGCTCTAATGAAGTCATTTCCAGTCTGAAACCGTCAGACTTGACTTTGGTGTCGTCTTACACAGGCAGGCACGCTGCAGTGAACTGCTGTCCCCCTGGCCTTAGACTTGTGCCAGTTTGTTTTCCATTACTATAACGAAGTACCTGAGGCTGGTTAACTGATACAGAAAAGGAGTTTACTTAGCACACAGTGTGGGAGGTTTACCGTCTAAACAGTGTAGTGCTAGTTTAGACAAAGGCTCCACAACAACTGTATCACCCCACGGCAGGTAACACCATGAAAGAAACATGGTGGGGAGAGAGATCACAGGGTAAGACAGGAAGCTAGAGAGACTCTGGAGGCCCATGACCTACCTAACTCCCCCACCCAGCCCCACCTCGTAAAGGTCCCATTACCTCTCAACATTCCTGCACTAGGGATCAAGCTTGTGATACCTGCAACATTGGAGGACATGGTCAAAGCATAATAATATTGCATATTAGGTTCCCTCTTACATTCCATTCCACGCTATGGAAAAGGTGACACTGATGAACGTGATGCCACTGTCACCATCCTCTCTCAATACTGACAGCCTTGCACATGAATAGGGCCTGGTGGGTTTGCTTAACTTAAAATACTTTTACTGCATTTCTCATGTGTGTGTTTTTCACACTCTCTAGTGGTTA